TGGCTACAGTCTTAGGGGAACTGCCTTGTCTCACCCCTCCCCTTCACGGAGCCAGCACCGGAGAAAAGAGTACTGACAGCAGAGACTACTGGGCACAAGCTGGGTACATCCCAGGTAGGCTGTCTCCAAATGGATCCCGCAAAACCCACAGGCTTTGGGCGTGGGAAGGGTGGATGGACGTGGCTTCCCTGCCACCCAGAGGAGGCTCCTTGGCACTTGAGTATTCTTTTCTCTCCGCTGAGGTCGCAAGCGGTCGGTCCAAGCTGCGGCGCGTTTCTTCAGGGAAGGGTAGGCTTGAACAAAGGCTGAGGAAGCGGAACGGAACCTTTCGCTTGAAACCCAGGCGTTGGGGCAGTCCTTCGGTCCTTTTCCTTGCAGACAACGGAGCGCAGAGGTCCCTCATCCTTTCTAGGAGGGGAGTTGTTGAAGCAGTAGAGAGAGAGGCGAATACTGAGAGGGAGGGCGAGAGAGGGGACCGCAGGGCAGTGGGAGGTGCCCAGATAGAGAAATCAGGAATCGGAGCGAGGAGGGGAAAGGAGATGGAGGAGAGAGGCTGGAGTGAAAGGCGAAGAGGGAGTTAGAGATACAGACTGACAGAGGCTGCGGGAAAGCAAGGGAGAGGGAGGGAGGAGGAAGGGGAGGGAACCCAAGGAGAGGGAGGGAGAGGCGGCGGAGCCCGGCGGGCGCGGGGCGAGGCTGGGCGGGCAAGCAGGCGGGAGTGTGCGGAGCTGCAGCCGGGTCCTGCTCCCGCCTCGGAGCCCCGGGCCCGGGGGAGGGGGAAGGGCCACTAGCCTGGTCTATGTCTTTTTCTGACTCCAGTGCAACCTTCCTGCTGAACGAGGTAACCGTGGGGCCCCCTCCCCAGTGGGTGGGAGTGAAGCCCCACTCGAAGCTAGGGAAGAGGGCCTGCTTTTTAGGGGAGACTGCAAGGAATGGGGGGAAAAGGAAGGGTAGAGGAGGTGAAGCCAAGGGTGGAGGAGACACTATGTAAGAGATGGGGGAGCAACCAAAGCTGTCAGCTCCTAAGCACTGGGGGGGCTAAATTAGAGGATGGAGAGGGGAGGGGTCTGCCAAGCCCTTCAAAAGCCTCCCTGAGTCCCCAGGGGGCAGCCTAGCAGCCTAGGCTAAGGCTCAAAATGCAAAGCCTCACCCAGACCTTGCATACTACAGGGAAGGAATTCTTTCTAGAGATTCTAGCTCTTGCTTCTGTCTCCTTTTACTATTAGGCATGAGGAGCTCCTTAGCTTTCTGGTGCATGTAGAGAAGCTAGAATATATTTTGCAAGCTCCCAAGAACTCCAACTCCCAAATCTGGTTATTCTTTATCCCCTCTCTTCTGCTTAAATGCTTGAGTACACACCCCCAACCCCAGGCTCACAGCACTCTTCTAGGCAGAGTCAGATAGGAGTTACCTCCCCAAGGTAGCTCTGGACCTAGATCCTTTATTTCCCTCTAGTCTCTTTATACCCAATTATGAAAAACATTTAAGGCCATATAGATACTGACAAACACTAGGTCTTGCTACAGGACAGGAAGTCATTAGGTTTGCATGAAAAGGAGAAGGCAGGTGTGGGTGAGGTGAGACTTGTAAGAGAGCATTGAGTAGTAACCAAGGAGTATGAGAAGGGGGGAGGGAGGCTCTGCAGCTTCTGCAGAACCCAGGGGATAGGCCAGGTATGAGGAGCTTGAATCCTTCTCCTGGGTGGCTGGCATGGCAACTCATGCCTCATGGGCAGGCTCAGGCACCACTGTCCCAGGCAGGGATGAAGACAACAAGATATGTAAGGAAGGAAGGTACTGTTTCCTACTATCTCCAGGACCACCTGGGGGTTGGGTGATCCCTAAAAGGAGAGGCCAGAGGAAATTATTTAGGAATGGCAAAGAAAAGCTACTGCCTTAGCAGCTGTCCTCTTCATCAGAATCAGCTCCCAAAAGAGATCACTTGGAGGGTCTTGTTTTTTCATACTTCAGGCCCCTCTGAAAGGACAGAAGAATTAAAAGAGACAAAATGAAAGTATACAGGAAATGGAAATAGGAACAAAAATAAGAAGGCAGGGTGTCTGAGGATTCCAATCCAGAAGAATCCAATACATAACCGAGCCCTATACAGTGTCAGAATCAAGAGAAGGAACTGTGAAGGAATATCTCCCTACTAGTGATTTATTCCCCCAGCCACGGGGTCTTCAGCAAAGTCCAGTTTGCCTAACCTGCAAGAAGATGCTGGGCTGGACCATTCACAATGTAGACAGACTAAAGATAATTTTTAAATGAGACCCTTCCTATCTCTTTTTCTTGCCAAACAAAACAAGTGACAGGTGCTAAGGGGATAATTTTGGGTGGGCTTCCTCTCTAACACAGATTTCATCAAACCTTACCTAAATTTTGGTTTTCTGATTCTCCTCTAACCTTCGGGCTAGGACAGAACTAGGGATTACTTAGAGCAAGTGTCTCATAAATGCATGTGGGAGAACTAAAGAAATGAGTGAGCAAATTATTAGTCAGGAACAGTTGGTGTTCTACCTCATAGACTCAAAATTTCAAAACTAAAGCAGCCCTTAGGAAGATGATAGAAGGTGAATTGATGCCTTTGAGCTGTGGTGCTGGAGGAGAGTACTGAATAGACCATGGACTGCTAGGGGGGAAAAAACAGGTTTATCCTGGAGAGGGTGGAGAATGTAGGCTGCAAGGATTTTTGAAGCTTTGTCTCATATTTGGGCATGTGGCCAGGAGGGGATAAGTCTTTGGAGAAGGACATCATGCTTGGGAGGACAGCACAAGAGAGGAAGACCCTCGATGAGATGGACTGATTCAGTGACTGGGGAATTGGGACAGGTGTGTCAGAGACAGTAAGATTGTCACAGGACATAGCAGGGCTTAGGGCTGTTATACATAGGGTTGCTATGAGTCGCAGGCAACTTGATGGCACATAACAACAACAAACAAACAACAGGAAATCTATCCTTTTTATTTTTAAAGAGTAGTCAGACCTGTTAAGAGAATTAACTAGGATCACAAACCTTATTAGTGGCAGAGTAAAAACTATTATTCAAGTGTTTTGACTTTGAAACAAGTTTCAGACACTATGCCACATCCTCCTTTCCCTTCCCTCCTGGATTTTTCACTCTCACTTCCTCCCCCTTCAACTCATCATAAAGTGGGATGAAGTAGTTATTTTACTCAATGGTTATTGGGCAGGAATTCTTGTTGGTTTATTGAAGTATAAACCCATTTTCTTATTTTACTATCCTCATAACCGGCCTCATGAAGCAGATTTTTGAGCTGACCCTCCTAGGTGTGAGAAGCTGGGGATGGAGTCCCCAGACAAAGGAAGTTGGTAACCTCTCTACAAGAGTAACTCCCAATAAAGAAGCATATCTTCATATGTTGGTTGGAGGAGCAGGTGGACAATCAGAATTCAAAGCACTAATTTTGCTCCGGTGGCCTAGTAGGTAAGGAATTGTGCTACCAACCCAAAGGCAGGCTGTTCAAAACCACCAATTGCTCAAAAGGAGAAAGAGGGAATCTCCTCCTGGCAATTTAGAGCTTTTGGAAACTGGCTAGAGGGAGGGTCAGTTATGAGTTGGTTCTGATTCGAAGGAGACCAACTGATACAGAGGGGTCCCTGTGGGTCAACCTAGATACCTATCATCCTTATCCTTTTGCTAAGGAATGCTCTGGCCTCACACTAGTGACTTTGGGGACCTGTTCTTTCTCCCTCCCAACAACCCTAGGGTGGCCAGGACCTTCTGTCCCAAGAACAATTCCTATACCTCCAGCCTCTGATTTCTTTCCTTTTCCCTGTAGACTCACCTAAGACAGCCCTTCCTGCCCCAGTTCCCACGGATGCCTTGGCAACGTGTCCTTTGGCAGGCGAGTGAGGAAGGGAACCCTCATCCTAGCCAGACTAGGATGAAATCTGCCTGAGATAGGTGTGGGGGCGGCGAACCCAGCTCCTCGAAACACGAGCTGGGCAGCAGAGCTCTGGTGGTTGCTGCGTGTCAGGACTAAGGGGTCAAGCACCTGTTGGGGCAGGGGCTGCTTTCTTGACAGTAGCGTGGTGTCGCCAAGCTCGCTGCTCCCAGCACCGAGCTGGGTTTCCTTTCGGAGGCTTCCGGGCTGCAGGGCCCAAACAAGCCGCCCTCTCACCTGGGGCCCCTCCCCGTCTGCCGCCCCTCCCCCTGCCCGTCTGCCTCGCTCCGGCTCCCCGGGTCCCCGTCTCCCTCTTGGTCTCGCGGCCTCCGCTTCTCCTTTCTCCATCCCCAGCCTCCCCATAACCTCCGCCCTCCGCTTCCCGGGCTCGGATCTCGCCTCCCTCGCCAGCTCCGCACGCCCCCTCCCCCGCACCGGCCCTTTGTTTCCCGGCGGAGTATTTCCTGGGTTGCCGAGCGTCCCGGTCCCCGCCGCGCTCCTCGCCCCGCCTCCGCCGAGCCTGGATCCGCCCCGCCCGCAGTCTTTCCTCCCCTTCCCTGCCCGCCGCCCCTCGGCCCGTGGGTGCTCGGGGACCCACCTTCTGCGCGCCTCGCGTCTGCTCCCCCGTCCCCGCCGCGGCCCGGCTCCCCCGTGGCCCGCGCCCCCCGCCGCCACCCCGCCTGCTCGGGGGAGGGGAGAGGGGGGCAGGTGGGCGGGCACTATTGTTGTAGGAGTCGGCGCCAGATTCCTCAGCCGCGCTCGGGGTGGGACCAGCAGGGTTCGGGGGGTGGGGTGGGGGAGCGCTGATTTGAGCTCGAAGCAGCTGGGCTTCTCGACTCGCTCCTTCCTTTGCGCTCTGTCGCTCGCCGTCACTGCCCGCCGGGCTGCGGGGCTCGGTGGCATCTTTCGGGTGCGGCCGCTGCCCTCGCCCACTACCTCCGGGCCGCTCCCGCCCCCGGCGCCGCTCGCTTCCCCCCACCCGGACTCCCCCATGTATGACGATTCCTACGTGCCCGGGTTTGAAGACTCGGAGGCGGTGAGTGCCCCCATGGGGGTGGGGAAGCTAGGGTGACACCTCCTCCCCCTTGGACCCTACCCGCAGTTCAGGACTTGGAGAAAATACTCCAGTGGAGGGACTGGGTGTATGCGGAGAGCTGTGTAGGAAAGAGGAGAGATGAGATGTCACGCCAAGGGCTCCCCGGTGGCCCAGTTTTAGATCAAGGGGCAAGGAATGCCTGTAAGGAGAGGGCAGGTGTTGGAGGAAAGGCTTGAGCAGGTGGTTTCAAACACCTAAGGCAGAAGAGATGGAGGGAGAAAGGGCAGAAAGAATCTAGACTAAGGGCAGAGACTTAAGAGAGCCTACCAGTGTCCAAAATTTTGAAGAGAGGATTTATGGGGTCTGCATATAACTGTTACAGGAGAAGCTGAGGTCTTGAGAATGGGTATAACAGATCTCCTGTACCCCAAGTCAACAACAAATGAAGGAGTCTGGGAGAACGTTGGAGAGTTGGGTTCCAGGCTCTTAAGAGAGGATCATAAAAGTTGAGGACCACCATTATTCACTTCTCTGCGCATTCCCTTATCTCTCAACTTTCCTCTAACCCAGCCACTGCCTCCCCTCAAAACCTGGGCCCCCAGCCTGAGCCAACCCTTCCATTCCACAGCCTCCTGCTGAGGCTTCCTCTGAGCGATAGGTACCCCGCGCTCCTGCTCAGCATGGAGGGCCTAGAGGTGAGGCCAGAAGAACTGAAGGCTTGGCGATGGAGAGGAAGCTCTTTGCTCAGAGAACCAGGCAACCGATAAATATTTAATTCTCCTCTTTGCTTTTATCTCCTGACCCACTGAGACAAATCAGCTCATTAGGCAGTGATTCCCGGAGCTCAAGAGAGTGGGGCGAGTGCCTGGAAGGATGGGGAGAAGCTTCTCTGTTCCCCTCAACCCCCTTGGAGCTGCCAGGTTTCCTTCAAGTACACTGAAAGGTGGCCTTCTCAGATGAGGCCCATTAGTTAGATGGTTTGAAGAAGGCCCCTGATGGGTGAGCAGGTTAGACTTATACATTGCTAGTACTGCAAGGTCTGATAAGAGTATGATCAAGCCCTTGTCTATCTATTGCTGTCAAGACCATGATAGATAAGTGCTGGAGCTCAGAATAGGAAGCAACCAGCCCCTTTCTGTGACTGGGCTCCTGCTGGGACCAATTCCCTTTCAAGCCTCTGGGGCTAATAACCTTACAGCTACAACAAGGCTCTGGTGGATACCTCTTCTCTGACAGTTGAAGGGACAGCTGGCATGGCCCAGGCTACCAAGATGCCAAGGTGAGCCTGAGAAAAGGCTGCTCTGTGGGGGTGGCTCGAGGGTTCTGGGAGGTTCTTCGCATCCCTGGTGAGAAGGCAGAGACTGCTGTAGGGTAAAGACTAACATGTGAATGGTATTTGGGGGCAGCATGCTGCCTCGCCACCTCTCTCTAGTTCCTGGATTACCCTCCCCCACTTCCTTTCGCTTGCCTGGCTCCTTGCTCTCCCTGAGGCCCCCTCTGAAGCAGTAGGAGGGAGATCAGGCTCTAAATAAATCCACCGGCTCATCTCCCTCCTCTCCTTCCCCGTGCCAGGCAAGAGTGGAGCTGCAGCCTGCCCACACACTCACCAGGCGAGGGGGGCACCACCAGGGCACTGTGCCAACCCCTGGCAGCTCTCAAGTACTGAGCCTCTGGCTGTTTTGGCATAGCAGGAAGTCGAGACAAGAAGACCCCAGAGTGTACTTGGCAGGACTGGCCTGACCTCCCCAAGTAAGGCCACAGTTCCAAAGATGGGTGAGCCCTGAGGACTTGATAGTACTGGTGCAAACACAACTTATTCAATATTGAAGGAGAGATCCTGTCATTTCCATCCTATGGTTGGAGGCCAAGGTAGCCTGCCCAGCTGCCTCAATCAGAGATATTAATATTAGTCTGAGAGCCTGGAGGGCAAGTAATAAAAGTTAAGTCTCTTTCCTGATAACATGCTGGGCATCTCAGTGGTACCTGACTGATCCTTCTCAGAGTGAGTAGTCATCCTGCCACTCCCCATGCTTCTACCTGATTGGACCCTACACTTCCAGCAGCTATATTCTGTAGAGTATCTTATGTCCTGCCTAAGACCTTTGGGAAAGAGCTCTCTCCCCCTACTGACAGTGCCGGCTTCACAGTCGTTAAGACGTGTGTGTGGTCCAGATTTTTGGAAGTAAATCATCAGGCCTTTCTTCTTCATTCATCTTAGTCTGGAGGCTCTGTTCATCGTAGCAACACACAAGCCTTCACTGCCAGGCCGGTTGTAGCTGATGCACACAGGAGGTGCACTGACTGGGGATCAAACCCTGGTCTTCCACATGGAAGACAGAACTTCTACCACTGAACCTCCAGTGTTCCTCTTTAGGCAGGGTTTGTGTCTCTGTGAAATGAAAGGGTTTTTCCCTCTTTGCTTTCATCATGCTTTTGATCTACCACAGACATTATATGTAGCATGGTTTTTAGAGCCTGGACTAAAACCAAGCTGACAAATCATTTTGTCCAAGCCGGGGGCAGGGCAGGAGTCTAGATGCATGGTAGGTGTGCGATTTCACTCCCCACTGAGTTTGGTCTTTGCTACTTTATATGAGCTTGGGTCAGATACAGTGGGCTTGAGGAAATGTTTTACAGCCTGAGAAGGTAATGTGCAGCAGGTAATATAAAACCCCTTTTTCTACACACACAGACACACTCTCACTCTCTCTTTTTCTTTCTCCCTCCCTCCCCCCCATATATTCCTCCTACCTTCTCTCTGCTTGCTACCTGCATCTCAGAATTGAACGAAGCATCATTTCCTCTTTATGCTCATAAAGTGGGGAAACTATGATACACGCAAAATTTTCCTTCTTCCTAGACTGAGTGGGGGAAACTTAGACATCCTGACTTCTGGCCTCTTGTCACAGGGTTCAGCTTCTCTTACTCTTTTGTGAAGATTTTCCTAAGGCCTTGAAGGTGAATTCTCGGCCTTCCACATATACTCCCACTGCCCAAAGACCCTTCCTAGGGTCCAGACTCAGAGTCTTTCCTCCCCTGTGAGGCTCCCAAAGACCCTCTGTCCAAGTCCCCAAGGTCCTGTTCCTCGGCTAGGTTGCCTGGCAGCCTGGCCATCCTCTAGGGCCTGATATCCCTTGGGCTTGGAGAAGGGTGGGGAGGCCAGGTGGTAGGCGTGGCCCAACTCACCCGTGCCCAAGGAGATAGCTTTGTGTTGCTTTCTCAGTCTTGTTTGCTGCCCATACCTGGCCAGTTGCCCTAGCAGGTGTTAGGAAAGAAAGTGAGGGTATTGACAGTAAAGGGAAGGTAACATCCAGGAGGACTTGACAGCTCTTGGCCTCCTTTTCACCCTGGAATGGTAGAGACTAGGAAAAATGGAATCTAAGGAGGCAGGTTGCTATATCTAGACCACTCAGGGCCTGTGCCATGCCAACCAGCATCTCTTGACTATTCTCTCACTGGCTGTACGCCTGTCAGCCTTTTAAAGGGATAATGTCCAAGCTGCTTTTCAGGCTTGTGTGAGGTCTCGTGGATTCAGAATCTTCTTCAGTATATCTTTCTACTCCCAGGCCTCAGAAGACATGGTCGAGAGGAGAAAGGAGAGGAAAGAGGGAAGTGCGGTAGGCCTCTACAAAGCTGCAGTGTTGAGCTTGGGGGAACGGCCCAGATCTTAGTAAATATGATTGAGCTGGCTTTCCTGTACCCTGAGAGGCCCTGGGTCCCTTCCCATAGGGACTGAGGCATACTCAACCACTTGGATATGGAGAGGCTGTGGCCTGAGTGGTGGCACTGTTGTAGGATTAGGAAGAAGCCTCTACACTCTGCAGCATCCTTCTCACCTGAGCTCAAATGACACAGCGTTTCTACCATTCCAGGGTTCAGCTGACTCCTACACCAGCCGCCCATCTCTGGACTCAGACGTTTCTCTGGAGGAGGACCGGGAGAGTGCCCGCCGTGAAGTGGAAAGCCAGGCTCAGCAGCAGCTTGAAAGGGCCAAGGTATTAACCTCTGAGGGCAGGGAAAGCTGGCTGAATGGAAAGATGTGCTTGGTTCCAAGCCCCAGAAGATCTTTGGGCTTTATAAGTGCATGTGATGTGTGTGATGGGCCCAAACTCTTGCTTCTGCTTCTGAGAACTAACACTGGGCTGCATGGTCTGAGGCTCCCCCCCTCACTTATGCAATGGGCATGTTCTTTAGCACAAGCCAGTGGCATTTGCTGTGAGGACCAATGTCAGCTACTGTGGTGTACTGGATGAGGAGTGTCCAGTCCAGGGCTCTGGAGTCAACTTTGAGGCCAAAGATTTTCTGCACATTAAGGAGGTAAGTGACACCTTCTCCCTTCCCTAAAGATGCTGCCACCATTTCATTTCCTTGTGCCAATCCCAAATCCCAATACCTCTTATATTTTTAGGTCCTTTCTGTGTACAAGTCCACAAACTCCTCAACGACTTATATTTAACACACATGCATACAGCTCTCATGTTGTTGTTATGTGCCGAGTCACCTGCGACTCATAGTGATCCTGTGTACAATAGCTCCAAAGCTTGCCCTGTCCTGAGCCAGTCTCACTGACTCCGACACACCTACCCCCATTACCCCAGTTACTATATCGATCCATCTCATCCGGGGCCTTTCTCTCCTGCACTGTCCCTCCACCCTTCCAAGCATGATGTCCTTCTCCAAGGAGTGGTCCTTCCTGGCCATGTGCCCAAAGTATGTGAGACAGAGCTTCAAACTCCAGTTTGATTTCACCCTCTCCAGGATAGACCTATTTGTTTTCTTGGTGGTCCATGACTCTTGATTCAAGACTCTTCTCCAGTACCACAACTTTAAGTCATCAGTTCTTCTTCTGTCATCCTCAGTCATTGTCCAGTTCTCTGATGCAAAGCATGTAATTGAGAAGACCATGTATTGGATCAGGCACACCTTAGTCTCTAGACTGACATCATTGCTTCTTAGTACCCTGGAAAGGTCCCCGGCAGCCAACACCTAATCCCCAGGGCCTGCATCCTTTTGAACCTGGGCCTGCAACTCCCATCTCCATATCTGTGGAATAAGTAGTCAGATTAACTGCCTGTTAGATCCTGTGGGACAGCTGTGATGCCTCACCTGAGTACCTGAGTACCTCCCCCCTAGCTGTCCTTCCCTCTGGTACCTTCCGCTGCCCACCTCCCCTTGTGCTGCCTTTCTCAGTCTACCTGGATAAGCCCACCAAATGCCTCCCTAACTCCTAAAGGCTAAGGCTACCTCCTCTCACCATCTCTTCTTGCCTCTCCTTGCTCCAGAAGTACAGCAATGACTGGTGGATCGGGCGGCTAGTGAAAGAGGGCGGGGACATCGCCTTCATCCCCAGTCCCCAGCGCCTGGAGAGCATCCGCCTCAAGCAGGAGCAGAAGGCCAGGTGAGAGCCGGGCTGGAACTCTGTAAATACCCTGCCCCTAGGCATGTGCACATTGCCCACAGAACACTGGGACCACACCCCACACTGCACACACACATGCCTGTTCCATGCAAAAAGTATGCATAGCCCAGCTATACACATTTACCTATGCAGCAAATATACGAGCATACATATATACACACGCACACATATCACATGAATGCCTTTCATTAGATGTAAAAACATAACAGTTATTAGATAATGCTTACAAGCATACATATACAGTGCTGGTGGTGCTGTTATGTGCCGTTAAGGCAGAAACAATTCATAGCTGACCTTCCACCAGGTTTTCAAAGGCTGTAAATCACGCAAGAGGAGATTGCCCATCTTTCTTTGGTAGAACCTAGTGGTTTCGAACCTTTGATTTGTTAGTGTAGCTTCTTACAGCTAGGCCACCAGCTTCCCCTACAGTGGCCTAGATCTCTTTCTTTCCCTCTCTTTCTCAGGAGATCTGGGAACCCCTCCAGCCTGAGTGACATTGGCAACCGACGGTCCCCTCCTCCATCTCTAGGTAGCCTCTCCCCACCCCACCTCATCTTGGGTAGGTGGGTAATTAGGACACAGGGTGAAGGGAGAAATTTCCCCAAGTTAACTCTGTGGGAAGAGGTTGTGGGGAGGGATCCAAGGAGCTGGGAGAAATCCTCTTATTTCCTATGGGAAAGGGAGTGCCATGCCCTCAGGGCCTTTTCCCCCTTCACCAACTTTAATCTTTTATTTCCTTTTCCAAAAAGCCAAGCAGAAGCAAAAGCAGGTGAGTCAAGGAAGGGTCTGGGCTGGGAAGGGCTCATGGCTTAGGGAAGTTTTCTGGGTAGTGATGTTGGAGGGGCAAAAAATGCAGAAGGGAGGGAATGCCAGAACTTCTGAAATCTGCCCCTCGGACCAGACAGGCACAGGGCAGGCACCTATACCATTCTTTTTCCTTACCTCATGTCTTTTCTGCAGGCAGAACACATTCCCCCATATGATGTGGTGCCCTCCATGCGACCTGTGGTGCTGGTGGGGCCTTCTCTGAAAGGTTATGAGGTGAGATGAGGTCCCCGGTCCCCAAGTTACTTCTACCCAGCCTGCCACAAGAAGGTGAGGGTGTGTCCTCTCCACCAGGGCGCACAGCTCATTGCTTTCCCTTACACAGGTCACAGACATGATGCAGAAGGCGCTCTTCGACTTCCTCAAACATAGGTTTGATGGCAGGTAAGCTGCCTGGCCTGGAATAGCATGGCATGAGAACCAGGCAGAAGACTATGTACAGTTTCTAGATGCTTGTGGCAGGGTCTTCTCTGAAAGGAAAGTTAGTGGGGCTTTGGTAGGGAGGGGCCTAGGGCTTTAGATCTAGAGGTGAGCTGTGATTCTCCACCCCACCCCAGGATCTCGATCACTCGTGTCACAGCTGACCTCTCACTGGCAAAGCGATCTGTGCTCAACAATCCTGGCAAGCGGACCATCATAGAACGCTCCTCCGCCCGCTCAAGCATTGGTGAGACATCCTTGTGTCCTCGTTACTCTGCCCACTCAAATGTTAGTGAGAAGCTGCTTTGTTCTTTTCTTTCCCCTCAACTCCTTGTATTTCTGTCCAACTCCTCCTGTGCATTGGTAAGAATGAACCTCAGTCATTTCTGTTCCCTGCTACCTTGCCTGGTCAGACCTTGACAAATAACCTTCCCTTCAGATCCTCTCTGCCCACTACTTGAGAGCTCCCCCAAAACCCTACAGGAGCCATAGATGATCACTCCTGCTCCTCCCTCCGTAGCTGAAGTACAGAGTGAGATCGAGCGCATATTTGAGCTGGCCAAATCTCTGCAGCTAGTGGTGTTGGATGCTGATACCATCAACCACCCAGCACAACTGGCCAAGACCTCACTGGCCCCCATCATCGTCTTTGTCAAAGTGTCTTCACCAAAGGTAGGTCAGCAGGGATGATGAGATGTGCATAGAGCTGCCCTTCTAGAAATCACAGCTCTCCTTAGTCTCTGCCCAAGGGTCCCTGTGGTCCTTTCCTTACTGCCCCTTGACACCACTGAGTCATCCTCACCCCCTACTGATGCCATGTCATTAGTTGGGCACATGGCCAGTTCTTTCCAGGCCCAGCTTTACCCTTTCCCTTAGGTACTCCAGCGTCTCATCCGCTCCCGAGGAAAGTCACAAATGAAGCATCTGACGGTACAGATGATGGCATATGATAAACTAGTTCAGTGCCCACCAGTGAGTACCTGTATCAGCTGCCCCTGTGCCCACTCTTGCTTTTCCATTACGCAGAGAACAACAGAGACAAGTAGGGGACTGCAATGAGAGGAGCCCAACATTTTCTCTTCCTCTTTTCTCCCAGGAGTCATTTGATGTGATTCTGGATGAGAACCAGCTAGAGGATGCCTGTGAGCACCTGGCTGAATACCTGGAGGTTTACTGGCGGGCTACTCACCACCCGGCCCCCAGCCCTGGTCTTTTAGGACCTCCCAGTGCCATCCCTGGACTTCAGGTAATGATTTGCAGATCATTAAGTCTCAGATCGTTAAGCTCAGCCAGCCAACGCACTGCCCCTAACCCGTCCCAGTTCCTGCCCAGGTCAAGGCCAAGGAATGTTCTTTGGTTCCAATTGAGAAGACTTGTAGAGCCCTCAGCTGTGCTGGAGAAAGAGCTGGTGTGGGCAGCCAAAGAACTGATGAGAGAAGGAGTAAGTTAGTAAGATGGGAAATCAGAGATTCGTTTTCTAGGGGCCGAGGGAAGCACACTTTCCAGACCCTCTGCCTAAGCTGTTTTGAAGGCAGAGCCTAAATTTGGTAGGATTATTCTCAAATCTATTTCAATTTGTAATGACCATATAAAATAGACTAGTAATGTCTCTTAAAGATTCCAAGGGAATCTTGGGAAAATTATTTTTTATGCGAGCAGATTACCAAGTCTTCTTTCCAATGGAAAGGTTTCCTTAGCATGAATTTGGGGAATCAAAAGTTCTAGTTGTCTGTATCTGAGAAGACGACTGCTCTAGCATGCTGCTTCTTCCATGTTTATACCCTACCAGAACAGGGAGACAGACCTTGGTGAGGTATTTGCTGCCTCACTTAAGAGCTGTGTGTCACCCCCAGAACCAACAGCTGCTGGGGGAACGTGGCGAGGAGCACTCCCCCCTCGAGCGGGACAGTTTAATGCCCTCTGATGAGGCCAGCGAGAGCTCACGCCAAGCCTGGACAGGTTCTTCACAGCGTAGCTCCCGTCACCTAGAGGAGGACTATGCAGATGCCTACCAGGACCTATACCAGCCTCACCGCCAACACACCTCGGGGCTGCCTAGTGCTAATGGCCATGACCCCCAGGACCGGCTCCTAGCCCAGGACTCAGAACATAACCGCAATGACCGGAACTGGCAGCGCAACCGGCCCTGGCCCAAGGATAGCTACTGACAGCCTCCTGCTGCTCAACCCAGGCAGGCGCAGGCACAGCTAACTGGGGAACTCACTCACTCCAGGTTGGCAGGTTGGAGTTAGACTGGCATTAGGCTGGCACTAGGCTCAGCCCCCACAATCCCTGACCAGCCCCAGCTCCAGGGCTACCTGGAGTCCCAAGGTTTTGGGAGCAGGGGGCCCTCTTACCTCCTGGGCAGTGACCCATGTAGGCTCCCATACCAGGTACTAGCTGTGTGTTCTGCACCCCTGGCACCTTCCCCTCCTGCACAAAAAGCTGCCCACTGGGCAGTGCCCTCAGGCCAGGATCCCCTTAGCAGGGGCCTTCCCATCGCTCAGGGAAGGGATGCTCCCTCAATGTGAGAGGATGGTGGTGTGGGCCGCACGACATGAAGAAACAAGGTCTCTGAGCAGGTATAGGTGATTACAGTCAAAGGACTCAGGGGTTGTGCTCTGGGGTCTAAGAGCCCCTACTCGCCTCACTGCCACACATTAGAGATAAGACAATCAAAGCCCACCAGGTGCCACTCCCATCTGTCAGCTAGGGCAGGGCATCTAAGCACAGCACTGGAGCAGTAGGCAGCCTAGGCCTGGCCAGAGCAACACCTCACAGCTGAAGCTCTTGGAAGGAGGGCTCTCCTCACGCTGCCGGGAAGGAGCATGGTCAAATTAAACAGGGCAGGGAGTCGACTTGGATTGGGGTGTTTGGGGAGGGAGGGCATGTATACTACAGAATGTATGGAACAGCTTTGGGGCCTCCTCGCCCACTCATTCTTTTGCTCTTGCATCTGGTCATTTTTTTTTGCCCCCTCATGCATCCTGGGGGATATGAGCCCCAAACTTTATTCCCTGATTCATAGATGCTGCTTGTTAAGTTAGGGTTAGATGGGGAGAGGTAGGATGGTGTAGGCAGCCCTTCCTCAGAGGTCCTGTCTAATCAACTACCTTTGCCTGCGGCTCTAGTGTGTGACCTACAGAGCATGCTCAAGACTCTGCCCCCACTTCACTGTCATCTCTAATAAACACCATGCACAGTCTTCCGGCTTCTGTTCTGTGTCTGCTGGCTTACTTAGCAAGGTTCCTCAATACAAGGTCCACTCAAGTATGAAGGAAGTAAAGAAGTATTCAGACCTATCCTCTCACAAAGGACCCAATAAATGGGAAGTAAAAAGGGCAGAGCCTGGAGAGCCCACCCTCTCCTCAGCCTCATCCTCAGGTGCTTGGGGAGGAGTGGGGGAGACATGCAGCAGCACAGATGGAACTTGTTCCAGGAGGTGAGAAGAAAGAGGCTTAGTCATAGCTTCATACTGTTCCTGCCTTAGGCCACAAAGGTCCTAGAAGTAGCCCCAACTTGAACTCTACATACCTGCCAGGTCTCTAATGGGTAAGAGTGAGCATGGGCATCAGTGGGGGGCCCCAGCCCTGCAGCACTAACCGCACACTTAACTCTTGACAAGCTAGCTCAGCACTCCTCACCTCTTAGCCCACAAGCAGCAGGCTATTAGGGGCACAGCAAAGGTACACAACACAAAGTACGAGGATGGTTCTGATTATGCCTCACCTGCCAAAGCTTCACAATCACTTTCTTCTCTCACCTTGTACAAAGCTACCTGGAGGATGCAGATGCTCTAGCCAGGACCACAAGTTATGTGGGCTACAACACTGGATGGATTATGATCTTGCTGCTGATAGCTTTTCTGTCTCCCGTAAAATGCTATCTATTGCGCCTTAACAGCAGAGACCCTAGGCTTTACTCTCATTTTCCAAGTCAACATACTATAATCAGTGCTGTCCCCTCTGTCTTCTGTAGTACCAATGAGAACCTGGGAGATCATTTTAGCTATAAGTAGATACAGCTTTAATATCGGGTGTTTATTCGCAGAACATACAAACTCATCTTCTTGGAGAATAAAAACAAATTTCACTCAGTGACTTTAAGATGAACACTGCCAGTTCACCTCGACCCCCATCAACTAAAAAAATTCCCTGGATGAGGGATGCCTAGAGTGCATGGCACCCCTTGGCATAGGGGTTATATACAACTCTAAAAGCTCTTGACTTGAGAATCCAAATGTGAAAACAGTTGTCAAAATGACAAGAGTCCAAGGTCCATAACTCTCACGGTGCCATATCCCCGGGGTCATCCTGGGCCACAGCGTTAACGGCAGCTTAGGCAGTCAAGTCTGTGCTGAAGGTGCTCCTATCCAGGCAGCCAAGTTCTTGTTCATTCTGAGAGGCAATGCCAACTGACTTCTAGAGCTGGGCCAAAAGCTGGCTATTTTCTCTCCTTGCCTTCTACAGCAGTTCCCCTCCTTCGGAAGCTCAGTCAGGCCTTCAGACCTAAAGGTCTGGGCCAGGGTAGCCTTGATTGTTTCCTAAGTTCCCATAACCCAAGAGTGAGGACCTGAAGGAGACAGAGGTCCTGTCAGAAGGGTCCTGAAGAACCAGCTTTAGGCAGCTTCAGAGCATGTCCTTAACCCATGGGAAGAACCCTGTGTCAGGCAAAGATGGTTTCTTCCCTGCGCTTTTTGGTCAGGATGGTTCCTGGCTTGTGCTGGGCATCTGGGTGGTTGGCTAGCTCTGGAGGACAGGAGGACACAGGGCTCTCCAGAATTGCTTGCTTCAGCTCATAGAACACAGCAGAGTCTTCTTTCGTGAGGAAGGTGATAGCTACCCCACTCTTGCCTGCTCGTCCTGTACGGCCAATCCGGTGGATGTAATCTGTGAAATTTTGGGAGGAATGTTAGTCATTCAGGGCATCAGATCAGAGACTCTTGGTGAACAATCCCTGAACCTCATTTACAAAGGCATCGTATTCCCCACCACTTAGCCAAAAGATAGAAAATAGTAATGCAAACAGACTGAACAGAAGTACTTAGAAAATACATGACTTCTGAACTTTGGTTATCTGACTACATTAAGACAGTTGCCTAGCCTCATGCTATCCTAGGCAGTAGGACAATACATCAGGTGAGCTAAAGAGCATGATCCCTTCTCACTGGAACAAACATTCCCAGACTCAAAGCTTTGAGAGATGGCAGCAATACCTTCCTACTGCAGCACCCTGACTTTGAGAGCAATGAGAGAATCTCCTCTTATCCTGGACTTACCTTCAATGTTTTTGGCCATATCATAGTTAACAACCATAGATACATCTTGAATGTCGATACCACGACCAGCCACATCTGTAGCCACCAAAATATCCTTGGCCCCAGCCTTGAGGTTGGACAGTGCAAACTCTCGCTGCTCTTGGCCTTTCCCACCATGCAGAGTGCAAGCATTGTACTGTTGAAAGAATGAAAAAAAAAAGGGAAAAAAAAGATCATCACAAGACAGATGTTAAGAGGGGGCAGGACAGAGCAGAGAGAGAAGGGTGAAGATAACAGCTGGGTAGAAGGCGAAGGAAGCAGGATAAAGAAAGTGCAACTGAAAGAAGTAAAGAGAACAGACATGCTGGAGAGCACCATAGAAGAATACAGGGTATGCTGTGGTTTGAAAGAATACAGGATATGAAGCTGGAGGCAAAGCAATCGGCCAGTGAATAGGTGGAAAGTGGACCATTTAAAGAGTTGGGTGGAAAAGACACCCTTTTCCCCTCAAACACCAGCATAAAAAGTAGAAGATCCTTACTACATACGGAGTACAGTTAAGGCTATTTCTCAGATATAACTACTTTGTAGGACTGAATTTCTACATTTGAAGAATCAGGACTAAAGTTTTCTGGGACATACCAGTTAACTGGCATAAGAGACTTTGAAAAGTTAGATTCTACATCCTAGTCTGTTGAGTTAGTGTCTTGTTTCTTAAAAGCTTGTTTAAGATACAACTGTAGATTTCATATTCACCTGAAGCTAAAGAAAATGAAAGAAACCCAAAAAGCAAAATCTAAATAATCTACAGGACCAATAAACTGAACTCAAACTCACTGCTATGAAGTCAGAGCCAATACATGGCTTACCCTCCAGCAGGTTTTCACAAGCTGTAAACCACACAGAAGGAGACTGTCAACCTTTCTCCCCTGTGGAGTCACTGGTGGATATGAACTGCCAGAGATGCCACCTTTGGGTTAGCAGTGCAACCCCCTATAGGACTTAGGAACTGTGGCCTCACCTACCTGCAGTGAGAAGCCCTAGATGGTACTGGAAGAAAAATGTGAAGCCTACTGGACTGGTCAATCAAACCATGAACTGAAACTAACTCCTAAAGTCATCTTTTAGCTAAATAACAAATTGGTTCAAAAAATAACTAAGTTTTGGGGAGCTCTGGTGGCCTAGTGGCAAGAAGCTGCATTACAATCCCAGAGAGATGCGGTTCGAATCCACCAGATACTCTACCAGAGAAAGAGGGGCAATCTCCTGTACCAGTCAGATCTGATTTGATGGTACAAACACAAACAAAATAATAAAAATTAAAAAACAAAACACTAAGTTCTGTGCTCCATTAAAAAAAAAATTACCTCTAGGAGTGGCCATCTAACATACAACTATTGGTCTCTCCCCATCAAAAAAGCAAACAGATTATCAGTCCAAAAGCCTAAGAGCCCATTCAAACTTCAGTCTCTACAACCTTGAGACCAGAAGAACTAGATGGTGCCCAACTACAGCTGCTGATCACTTTGAAAGGGTTAACAATAGAGGATCCCTCATAGACAGGGAGAAAAAGGTGGAACAAAACTCAAAGTCATAAAAAAAGGTTAGGCTTACTGGTCTAATATAAATTAGTGGAACCTCTGAGACTAGAGCCTGTAGACACCCTTCAAGCCTGGAACTGTACCCCCATGAAAACATCAAGGCAACAACAGACAGGCCTGGAAAATGATCCATAATACCAGAGAGGAATGCACTGCTTAGAATCATACATGACCAAAAAGGCAGCATTTACCCAGCAATAAATCTCAGAAGACAGGAAGAGATAGGAAGGAAAGATGAATGGAAAATAGGACACACAGGAAGAAAGTGGGAAGAGTACTGTTACTCTTGGGAACTGCCATTCATGTCATGAAACAATGTGTATGGACTGTTGAATGAAAGCCTTCACAAGTCACAATGAATTTTTTAACAACCACCTGTACATCAATGCGCAAAGCAGCATTATTCACAAGAGGAAGAACATGCAGCCCAAATATCCATCAACAAATGACTGGTTTGAGAAACTGTAGTACATTCACATAATGGAATACTATGCAGCACTCAGGAGCAATGATTTTGAAAAATATTATATAACATGGGAGGGGCTAGAGAGCATTATGCTGAGTGAACTAACTCAGGGACAGAAGAACAAATTCTGTGTAAGACCATTATTGTAAAACGGATAAACAGTGGGATGTGTATGGACATCCAAAGAGGGAAGGGGAGGGGTCGGGGAGGCTGATGGGGAGGAATCACAAGCTCGCAGAGTTTGGTGGGTGGAGGGGGAGAGTGAAAGACTAAAAACAATGTACATGAATGAAACACAATTAAAAAAAATAACCTATATGAAACAGCCAATAATTTCTATAAAACAAAGAAGAGAATGTATGTAGCAGGGAAACTAGATTAACAGAAATGGAACCACCCAAACAAACTGTTCATGCATTGGGAAGGATATAACCAATGTCACTGAATAACCTGTGTATAACTTGTTGAACAGAAACAAAAAATGTTGTTAAAATTTCACTGAAAACACAATAAAACAAGGTGAAGGAAGAAAGAAAAAGAACCCCAGAATCCTGATTATTAACATCTCTCTCTTGAGCATAGTAAAAATTCTTTACTCCGAACAGAGGAAAGCACAACCAGCTTTGACCCATTCTATTTCAGGTCCTTAGACCTCTACAGAACATTTCTCTCAGAATCTCTCCTGTCCACATCCCAGCTAATGAAGGCCCATGGCAGCTTTGCCTAGCTCTGCTGGAGTGGACTCAGAAGCCTAGCACTTAACCCAGTTCTCCCTGTTGCTGCAATTTTTCCTCTAAAAGAATGGACTTACTGAATACTGGCGAGGTTAAAGAATAAGGAAGAATAAGAAAGCAGGCCCTTAAGGTGATTCTCTAGTTTCTGAAAGTTCCAGAGAGATCTGACTTCACTCTTCACTGCCATACATACCCCCATCTTCTCCAAGGATTTGGCCAACACATCACAACCCTTCTTCTGGTTGACAAAAATGATGATGGGTGGATCAAACCCTTGCTCCAAGATAGCCAGCAGCTTTTTCCTGAGAAGGGGAAGAAAACAAGATACCTAATTAATCCCACCCCAAGTGAAATGCCCAACCTGAATCCCAGCTTCTTCAATGGCCATGGCATTCCAAACAAGATGCTCTTCAACAAAGAAGTGGTACCATTCTCACAGCTTTTCTTCCCTATTACACACTATTTTCCCTGGCTCAGCTTTTCTGTACCTCTTTTCTGACTCTGACATGAGGAAGACCTTCTGTTCCACTCGTTCATGAGGCTTGCCAGCAGAACCAATGTACACCACAGCAGGTCGCCGAAGATAGCTCCGGGCCAGGCGCTCCACAGCTGGAGGCATGGTGGCCGTGAACATGACCGTCTACAAAAACAGGAGGTTAAGTAAGCTCTGGGCCCAGGCAGACACAATTACCTATCCCACCATACCCATAGGTAGTTCAGCCCAACTAAAGAAATCTTAAATAAACCCTGATACCAAGTCTTGATAGCCACCTCCTTAAGAAAAGGGTCATTTTTCCTACCCATCTCTATCTTCAGCACCTGTTCATCAATCTGATAGAAAAACTGGAGTATATGCTAGTAGTTAGGATGTGGGAAGTAATAGCAAATGTTGGAATCCTTTTTTAAGGTGAAGTTAACTGGCTACATCTAGGACTGTCAAAAGATATCTAGGCACATCTCACCCACAAACATGTACTTGTGGGACCCCCTATGGCAAGAAGGAACTTGAGGCACATTTGGGACTTCGTCCATCCCTGCCTAACCCAGAGAGCCAAGCCAGCCTTACTTGGCGGTATTTATGTTTCCCTGACTCAAAATTGGCCAGCATCTTCTCAGGGTCTTCAGCCTCATCTGTGTCTGGCTTTTGATTGCTGACAGGCATGTGCTCCAGGATCTTCTGGACATCTGGTTCGAAGCCCATGTCAATCATCCTATCTGCTTCATCCAGAACCACATAGGTACAGCGGCTCAGCACCAAGTAGCGGTTCTCCAGCACATCAATCAGACGTCCTGGGGTAGCAATCACAATCTGGAAGGTACAGTATAATCAAAAGAGGCTCTATCAGGTTCCTAGTTCTTCCTCCTGTGAAGTACTCACTCACTTTGGCAACAGATCTCCAAAACTTAGGAATGGACCCCAGCCTCCAGTTGTGTTTAGTTGTGGAGGCTGCTGAAAATGTACTTATTCAAAGTTTTGAAATTTTTAGGAATGAAAGGGATCTTGTGTGGGTCTGGGGATTGGACAGTCCTCACCCCACTGCTATCAAGTCATGGTGACCCTCCCCCTGGTTTCCAGGCTGTAAATCTTAACAGACTTGCCTCCTCTTTCTCTTGTGGAGTAGCTAGTAAATTTGAAGCTGCAACCTTTAGGTTAGCAGCCCAACTGTAATGCACTGTGCCAAGAACAGATCAGAAGAAACTTTCCTGGTTGGGAAAGGGACTAAGATACGATAGAGGAATTAGTATGAAAGGTTAAATTGAAGAGTCTATAGAAGGCTAAATTCTTATAGCAGAATTCTTATTAAAAGCTATTTTCCCATTTTTCCTGTTACAACTCAAGATGATGAAAGTAATATGTAAATTCAATGAAATAGTTTAGCAAAATGACTAAGGGCAAAGTCTTTGGATCTGAGTCTCAGCCTAGCCCTTCCTAGCTATGTGTGACTTTAGATGTTAACCTGAACCTCAGCTTAATCCTATATTAGAGATACCAATACCTACTCTCATAAGTTAGCTGTGAGAATGAAGAAAATACATAATGTGTGCGTATTTGGTAAAATTTCTGATTCCTGATACATAGGTGCTAAGTAAATTGTTACTGTGTGCTACTGTGTCTATTTCAATTCCTAATGAATTCATTAGGAAGTTCTGGTGGCCTAGTGGTAAAAAGCTGCGCTGCAATCCCAAAGGCATACAGTTCCACCAACTGCTCTATGCAATTAATGCCTCTGAAAAACCACCAGAGAGTCAGCTATGGGTCGGCTCCGACTCAACAGCACACAACAATAATAATTCATAGGGAGCTCTGGTGGCCTATACCATAAGATTTACACTGTTAACTCAAAGGCTGAGCCTCTAGCAGTTCAAAGCCACCAGTGGTTCCACAGAAAAAAAATTGGAAATGTCTCTTGTATGATTTATAGCCTTAAACTCTGGAAGGTCAGCTATGAGTCAGGTCCAACTCAACATCAAAAGTGAGTGTGAGTGAGTGAATGATCTTGTATGACAGAACAGAACTGCCCAATGGGGTTGTCTTGACTGTAATGTTTACAGGAGCAGACTGCCAGGTATTCTTCCTGTGGAGCCACTGTTGGGTTCCAACCACCAACCTTTCAGATTACAGCTGAGAACTTAAACACTGCACCACCAGGTCCCATTCTAGATAAATAGCAGCACAAATGCATACACACATATATACAAGCCAAGCCATTTCTTCATTTTTCTGAACATCTACAGAAGAAACTAGAAACATAGCCTCAAAGAAAAGAGTATTCTTAAAGTGTGGGTGGTGGTTTGGTTAATAGCTGGTGACTGGTTAGGTGAACAAACCTCACAACCCATGCGCAGTCTAAAGCCCTGGTCTTCCCTGGAGATGCCACCAATGACAGCCACGGTGCGGATGCCCAGTGGTTTCCCAAATTTGATGGTCTCTTCTTCAATCTGCTGGGCCAACTCACGGGTGGGTGCCAGGATGATGGCATAAGGGCCTTGGTCTGACTCTTCAATCCTGTGGTAAATAGGCAAGCCACAACTTCATCAGCCCTCTTGTCATTCAGTCACAAAAGAAAGAAAGATAAAATCATTCTATGGAAATGGAAAAGGTGGGGAAGAATGTGTGGTCCCATTTGGAAACTAGAATTCAAGAGAGCAAAGTTCTCCAGGGAGTAATTCTTGCCAGGATGATTCTTTAATATTATGATCAAATTATTCTCCATTATCTATCACAGACAAAAGAAATGGGTTTCTTTTTATGAACTTTAAAAAAACCCAACCAACAAAAACCACCTTGTTTGAGGGTAGATAAAAACCTGGAAATACTGAATACTTTTTAGATAGAATGGCTTAAGTCTAGTGTGTTTGTAAGGTTCATCAAGTCTAGTAGTACCAGCACTTTCAAATCTTTTCTCATTAAAAAACTAACTGCCATCAAGGTAGACCTAACTCATAGCTGACCCTCTACTGAGTTTCTGAAGCTGTAAATCACACAAAAGGATCTGTCCATCTTTCTCCTGTGAAGCAGCTGGTGGATTTGAACAGCCAGAGAGACACTGCCTTTGGGTCGGCAGCACCACCAGAGCTCCCTTTCCTTTAACTAACCTCATAATAGCTATTTTTTACAATTTTGCACCTCTATATATTTATATTCTACATCATCCCTTTATTTTCATTTTTTCAAATATTCATATTTATTATTCTGTAGGACATTCATAATTATCTTTCTGAAGTAAACCAAATGCCATTTTAATTATCTTGTGTACTGTCATAGATCAAGTCAAGTAACTTGCTAGAACTTAAAGGAGGTAAAATATTCTGCCTTTACCTGAACTAATTAATAAGGACAATATCTTCAATTTTTCCAAGACTTCCAATAAAGAATTAATCTTAAAATTTAAAACAAAAATACTAATTTGCCACTTTCACCTTCCTTACCCAGCCCAACAAACCCAGAGCAACCAGTACCAGCTGACCCCACCTGTCAATCTTAGGGAGAGTGGTGATCCACACCAACAACGGGATGAGGAAAGCTGCCGTCTTGCCACTGCCAGTCTCGGCTACGCCAATGATGTCACGATTCTGCAGCCCAATGGGAATTGCCTGACGCTGGATAGGTGTTGGTTCCTGTAGTGATCCAAGGAGAGTACAATTGTAGTAAGAACAGAATTATACCACTTGGTCTACCACTAACAGGTTGGGTACATTAAAAATAAACCAATGTGAGGGTATCATGAAATGGGGATCTGAGAAGAAACACAATCACACAAGGTCAAAACTTCCACCAGAAAGTTACACAGACAAGGCCACCTTAGAGCCCACCAGTAGAAAAGGCATCAGTCAAAGTTCTCATCCTCAATGAAGTTTGAATCCCCTAGATTGTAAGGAAAGTTCCGGTCTCCTGCACATGTCTGTGCCCCCTTACCTTGTAACCGCACTTATCAATAACCTCCAAGATGTGTGGAGGTAAAGAAGAGTCTTTCCAGGATCGAATGGGATTGGGGATCTTGCCACCTTTGGTGGTGATGCTATAGTCCTCTCGGAAGATCCGCCAATCTCTGTCTGTCATCTCATCTAACTTCTTCTGGGACCAGTGTCGATCATCCCAGCGCTGCTTTGCTTCCTTCTTACGAAGTTTACGGAGTCTTGCCCTGGAGCAGGTACAAGGAATAAGAAAAATCAGTATCTTCCAATTCCTTTCCCTGGATACTTTGAGTCCACCCAACTACTCCTAGCCCTGATCACTCACTCCTCCTGTTCCTTTTCTTCCAGTGTTCGCCTCTTTTCCATCAGGTCTCCATAGAAACGTGACTGTTCTCGTTTCTGTTGCTTTAAGTCAATGCCTGCAATGAAGCCTCGCCCCAACAACTGTACCTGGTGCCGTTCTTTGTACCTGAATTGAGATAGAGAACAAAAACAAAACACACACACACAAAAAATGAACATTAAAAGGAAGAGTAGACTAACAGTATGTAATAGTTTCCCTTCCTGGCCAAGGCCTTTCATCACCAAGCAAGCTGGCTGATGAGCTTATCACTTTTCCCACCCCAACTTCCTTTTTCCTCTAGAAACTACCTAGAGTAAAAAGATCTAAAGCTTAGCCCCAAAGTCACTCACAGGGGGTTGTAGTCAATGGATGTATCCTCAGAAGCATCCCACTCAAAGACAAATTTACGATCATTGAGATGCCTTGTCCGACGCCGCTTCTTGATTCCACCCAGGTAACGCTCCTGCCAAGGAGTCAGCATAAAGCACGTCAAGTTCAAATTCCAAATCTTTTGTTGGAATATAAAGATCAGAATTTCCAAATAGAAAGACATTCTTTTTCAAAGAGGTTTCTTTTTCCAGGTGTAGCGGTGGAGGCAGTGACTGAACCAGGGCCTGTTACCTTAATGGCGTGTAGTTCCTTGCTCTTGTCCTTCTCCTCCCGGATCTTTTGCCGCCCTTCTTCATCTTCATTTCCATTGGTCTCCCGCTCCATCCTCTCCCTGCGTTCCCTACGTTCTCGTTCCTGAGGATCTTCTGCAGACATAAGAGAGCAAAGTTACAGTCAGTGGAAGAGAAGGGAATGGAGGGGACAGGGGAGGAAAGGGTAAGTTTATGATATCAGAAAAATAAATATCTAACAGGAAGATACTTTTCTCTTAAATTCTGTCATCACCCTGCTACCAAACTCCAGAACAAGCAGGTTCCTGATTTACACCAAAACCTCATCCCACGTCTTCTTGCCTAATCTAGGAGTAACTAGGATAGGGAGACAAACCCAACATCTTCCTGCCCAAGTCTTGGAACTGTTTTCGCTTTTTCCTCTCCTCTTCAAGCATCTTCTGTCTCTCTTCCACCTCTTGCTGCCGCCTCTTTAGAGCTTCAGCCTCTCGTTCTGCTTTGGAGAGGAACTTGGGCTACAAAACAGATTGGAGCAGTAAACAATGAACCTGGGAGCAGTCACATCACTTACAGAGATGTGACTGTAGAGTCTGAAATTAAACCTGTTGAGAAAAGCACAAAGAGACCTAGAATCCCAAGCTTTTACCTTAGCCTCAGCTTCTTCCTCAGCTTTTTTCTTGGCCAGAAGTTCCTCCAAGGATAATGGCTGGGCCTAAAGATAAAACACAAGACTGCTCATAAAAGCTTTCATTTTCTGAAGAGTAACAAAGCAAAGCTTAAGAAGAAAAGGAAGACAAAACATCTTCCCTTTACCTTGAGCTTCTTATCACCATGTTCATCCTCTTCATCTTTCCGAGAATCTCTATCTTTCCGAGATTTAAAATCTTTTCCTCGGCCAGGAGATAAGCTTTTAGGAAAACAAAACAGGAAAGATCCAGTGTTGTTCAGTCTTACACTCAAGAGGAGGATGGAAGTTTACCTATAATTCGACAAAACTGGTCCGCAGTCCTCTATCATGTCCTGAAGCTCCCTTAGCAGACATGGCTACTCTGCTGCTCTGAAACCTAACTATTAAACTGCCTTGGCCCTATTTTACCCAAAACTCCTTTTCTGAGACTCTTCTCTTCTGGAAAATGGGTCTACACTACTGTGGTGTTAAGATTTTAGTGTTCAAAGTGGCTCCCCTAGCATGCTGAACAACTTTGCCACATGGATGGGCTGGAATATGAGAATAGTGAGCTAGCCAAGGAAAAGGCTAGTCTCACCCACAAGCGGACTGGCTAATCTCACTATTACATTGAGCAGCTCAAAAAGAAGAATTGGAGAAATCTCACCACTAGCAAATAGAAGCAAAAGAATGAAACACGATCTTCAGGACCAGATATTCTTATGCCTGTCAAACTTGGGTCTATGAGAACAACAGCCACAGTTGTCACACCAGAGAACTAGAGACCTGTTAGGAGACAGGGCCTATCATGGGACTGCTATGCCACTGAATCAGAGCTAAGAGTCTTTGCCCAAGTTTGCTGGAGGTGTCTGGTCTGGGGGGTGGCAGTGGGCAGTGAGGAGGCATAATTGCCAGGACTTACAGCTTTTTAACACTGGCCTAAAGCTGCAAGGCTCAAGGCTGAGGTACCTGTGAGCATATTTATTCTGTGAGCAGAAGCTGTCCTGGCCATAGCCTTTTGACTTCTCCAATATGGTTCTATGTCGTGTGTGAGCAATCTCATAGGAGTTTGGACCCCATAAAGCAGTGAGTTTGGCATTGGGATGAGTAGAAAGAGATGACGGAGCATGAGGGACATGTCTGACCTCATGAGAACTGATTCTGTGTTGCGGATGTTGACAGGGACAGTTCCCCTTTGTGAAGTGAATAAAGGTCAGATATGGCCCCTACACGGCCCTTCTCTTTTTACAACTTTTAACATAAAAAATATTTCCTCCAAACAAAAGCTGCACACTGAAGGGAGGGGAAAAAAATCTGCCTAACACAGTGAATTAGCCTACATGATCACGCACTCACATTGTTTCCTGATAACACCACATATTCCCCTTTCTCATTTGTCTTTTATATATGGATAGGAAGATAGAGCATTTCTGGAAGCCCATTCTCATTCCCCTAGTACCTGGACCTTTTCCGGTCCTTGTCCCGTCTGTGCCCATCCTTGTCTCGATCTCGGTCTTTCTTGTTCCGATCTCGCTCCTTATCACGTTCTCGTTCTTTATGTCGCCGTTCTCTAAAACACAAAATTAAGAAATAATTTTATATTTCCAGAGTCTCCAGCTTCAGTATAATTTTAAGGTTTCCATGCTCTTTTCTCCTCAAAGTAATGCTTTTCCAACTGGAGACAGTGCTTCCTGGAGATATTCAGAGAGACTTCTACGGTCTTATAGATCAGAGTTGGACTGCTAAGTATTAATAGCAATGACGAACCATCATCTATGAAAGCTGATGACCTACCTTCCTTGATCATCTAGCCCTTGATCCCACTTTACCTTCAATAGCTACTGAGTCACTGAGAGAAACTGGAAATGTCTGCACGTCTCAGTGGACTCACCCTCTCTCTCTTTCACTGCCACGGAGTCAAACCCACTCCTAGTAATCCTCCATCAGATTTCTGAGGCTAAAAACTGCAATGAGAGACTGTCCATGTTTCTTCCCTGGAGAGCATGGGACACATGCAGCATTTGGGTAAGCAGTGCAACTCAACTATGGACTATGCCACAAAAGCTTCCTAATTAGGTTAAGAACACAAATGTGTAAAAAAGAAGAACATCTAGTACTGAGACATGAGAATAACCAAGAATAAGAACAAAGATGTTCAAGATGTACTGCTCCTTCCCAGGTAACAGACATAACGAAGCTATTCACCTTTCCGTAGATTTGGAACGGGAACGAGAACGAGAACGGCTGCCCCCTCGACGCCTATCCCTTGAACGATGGCGCTTTCTATCCTTAGACGGGGAAGACTTCCGGTCCCGATCTCTCTCTCTCTCTCTGTCAGGAGTCCGAGATCGTTTCCTTTCCTCCTTGGAAGGTGATACATCACGGTCTTTCTTGTCAGCCAGCTCTCCTGCCATCTGTCAGGGATAAAGAGACATACTCATATACTGGGTGCTATGCTAAGCAGTAAGAAGCCCTCGTGACAGAGCACAGCATGATGATGGGCTGCTAACTAAAAGGTTAGCAGTTTGAATCCAGCAGCTGCTATAAGGGAGAAAGGTATCCTCACTTAGAGTTACAGCTTCAGAAATCCCATATAGGGTTGCTATGAGTCAGAATCAAGGGTTTTGGTTATTGATCCTAAACAGTGGATTTATAATTCATCTAATCTCAAAACCACTTTATGAGAAAGAAATCTTGGTATGCTCACTTCACAAAAGGGGAAACGGAACTGAATGAAAATACAATATGATTTATAAATGATCATTCAAATTTTTAAAAATTTAGTTTTTAAAGAAGAGGAAACAATTGAGAACCCAGAATAGACCTTTGGTCAACTGATATTCAACAAGGAAATAAAACCTATCAAATGGGGAAATGAAAACCTCCTCAACCAATGGTGATGACAAAACTGGACTGCCACCTGATGAAAGGTAAAACAGGATCCACATCTCATACCAGAAACAAAAATCAACTCAAGGTGGATTAGAGACCTGGGAGTAAAACCCAAAACCATAACATTAATCAGAGACAAATTGGGATCAAGCTTAGAAGGCCTGGTCTATGATATAAAGATACTGTCATATATAGCCAGAAATGCTCAATCTGGAAACGATAAAATTGATGAATGGGACCTTCTAAAGATTAAATCCCTGTACACATCAAAAACTTTTTCTAACAGGGTGAGAAAACCTACCAACAGGGAACAAACATTTGGCAATACCATCTCAGACAAGAGTCTCATAACCAAAGTTCATAGAATATTTCTGGGCCTTCAGAAGAAAAAGACTGATAACACAAAATGGGCAAAAGACATGGAAAGAGTTGTTATAGAGGAAGATATTCGAATGGCCAAACAGACACATGAAGAAATGCTCAAAATCACTGGCAATAAGAGAGATGCAAATCAAAACCACACTGTGATACCATCTCACTCCAGTAACAGTGGCAAAGTTTACAGGACAACAAGTAAAAAATGTTGGAGAGGATGTGGCAAGATAGGAACTCTTATACATTGTTGGTGGGTTGTAAAATGATACCACCACTCTGGAAGGCAGTTTGGCACTTGCTTCATCAAAAAGCTGAACAAAGAAATTCCATATGACCCAGCTATTCCACTGCTTGGAATATGCCCCACGAAAATAATAATTGAGGCTCAAACGGAGTCTAGTACACCAATATTCATAGCAGCATTACTCACCACTGCAAGTACTTGAAAACAGCCTAAATGTCCAACCACAAACAAATGGATTGAGAGGTTGTAGTACCATCATACAATGGAATACTACATAGCACGCAGGAGCAATGATTTTGTAAATAACTGTAACTTGGGAGGGACTAGAGAACATTCTGATGAGTGAACTAACTTGGTCCCATAAGGACAAATACTGTATAAAACCATAATTGCAGGATGAGGATGAGGTTCCAAGGGGGGGAGAAGGGTGGAAGCAAAGGAGTGAGGATGGGTGGGTGAGGTGTTAATCATAGGGCTGCACAATTCAGTGGATAGGGGGGTGAAGGAAATGGAAGGATCTTGTGTGAAAAGCAATGTATTTGAACTTTGTCAATATATCAGTATAAAATTTAAAAAAAAAAGAAAGAGAGGAAATAGAAGCTTAGGTCTATAAAAGCCATTTTCTTAAAGATACTCAGGTAAAAAGTGGGAGATGATGGAGCCAGCTGTCTCCAGGATCCCACTGTTATTCACTACACAATGACTGTAATTTCTTTTGGTATATGTTCACATCTAAATCTTTACAATCAGTACGCCAGTCACCTAGGACCAAATCAACACTTTTTTAAACTTATATATTTTTTTTTCATTGGTTAACAAATAATCCTTTATTGAAATATTTTCATTTGTAGTTCTTTAGCTAGCTGGGCATTCCACAGCACCACTGTTGATGTCTTCTATGATGTCATGAGGGTGACGGCCATCAACATTGCAGCCCACAGATTGGGAAGTTCCCAGGATCTCTTTAATAGTTCCAGAGAGTTCTCTGGCTAAAGACCGGTGTCGCATCTGCCGGGCAATGCCAACAATCTCATCAAAAGTGATATTTCCACTGTGCTTAATATTTTTTCTGCTTCTTTCTGTCTCTGGGTGGTTCCTTTAGGGCTTTGATGATCAGGGCAGAGGCAGAAGGCACCACTTCAATCTGGGCCTGTCTGTTCTGAATCGTCAGTTTCACTGTAATCCTTACTCCCTTCAGTCACCGGTGGCCTTGGCAATGTCATCACCAACCTTTTTTGGAGACAGACCCAGGGGGCCGATCTTGGGGGCCAGAGCGGAAGTGGCACCGACTTCCCCACCTGTACACCTCAGGTACACAACTTTAATCTCGTTGGGGTCGAACTTGGGCGGCATGGCAGAGGCAGCTGGTGTCGGATGAACCCGGATGCGGGACGACCGAAGAAAGTTGCACCGAGGCCTCCTCCGAGCCGAAAGCCGAAAGACAGGAAGTAAACTTATATATTTAAGAGAAATATGAATGAAAGTTTATAAATTATACTGGTTCTCATCAATAATTCACACATTTTTTATTTTGTAACATTAATGATAACTGAACCATGTTATTAATTAACAACCTCTTTTATATATAATTCTTCTCATCACCCAACTTATTTATTAAATTTTATTTCACTCTCCTTCCATTCTCATCTCTGGTAACCACACAAAAATCATTTTACCCATGTGTACACTTCTTCACAGCTTAATATGATAGTGGTCTTATACCGTAATAGTACTTTTTTTACATTTTTTACTGAGATTTTAATGAAAGTTTAGCAAGAACCTGGATTTCCATTCATTCACTGTTGCACATTTTCCTCCCTACCCTCCCCCAGTTCACTTTCCTCTTAAAAAAATTCTTTCATTGTTGCGCAATACCCCCCAGGCCACTTTGTAATGCACCTTTTATTTTGGACTGCTGTCATGCAAATGATATCTAGTCATATATTCCTCTCAAACAGTTCTTTTCATCTGTTTCAATGCATTGTACATTATTTATCCCCTCTTTCTTTTCTTAGTTAAAAACACAAAACACTTCACGAATTTCCGTGTCATCCTTGCAGAGGGACCATGCTAATCTTCTGTGTATCGTTCCAATTTTAGTATATGTCTTGCTGAAGCAAGCACCATAATAGCACTTTTGTGACAGACTTATTTAATTTAGCATAAAAATGCGTCCAAATTATACAGTGTTTCATGGATATTGTTTTTTTAGAGTGCATGATTAGGGCAACTGGTTAATGGTTAGAGATCAAAGTCTTTTTAATTTAAGATACATTTATTTGTAAATTAAAGCGGCAGTTGGTAAATATACAGGTAACCACTCCAAAATATTCCTTTTTTAAAACTAGGCTGCCATGAGGCTGATCACTGTGACACCACTGATGTGTCAAATGCTTTAATGCTCGGTTACCCAATGCGGACAGAGAGTGGGGTGGAACTCCCTGGTTAAAACAAGCTTGGAAGCAGGAGTGGCATCCACTTCCATAACAGCTTGCCTCTGGAAACCCTATGAACCTGGAGAGAGGATGAGAGACACCCAAGCGTTGAGGACTATCCTTCACAGGGTCGCTATGAGTCACCTGCGACTCGATGGCAGTTAACAACAATAACAACAAAATAGAGAGATCAGCTGTCCCAGTGGACAGAAAGCGGTGCTACCAAGCCAAATGTGGGTTACTTTTAATCCGCGGCCCTCGGGCCTGTCTTTCACTGTTTTTGTTCAGACATTCCTTTAGGTCGTATAGCCCTGGTGTACAAGTTGCCATACCACGGTCACTTGTGGTTGCTGTAAGGCTGAACACCGAGACACGGATGTGTCAAATGCGTTAATGGTCGGTTTGCGGACAGGGAGTGAGGTGGAGCTCCTGATTAAAACAAGCTTGGAAAGAGGAGTGGCACACATTTCTAAAATAGCTTGCCTCTGGAAACACTATGAACCTGGAGAGAGGATGAAAGACAACCAAGCGTTGAGGACTCTCCTTCATAGGGTCGCTATGAGTTGCCTGCGACTCGACAGCACTTAACAACAACAAAACTAATAATCCTCTAGTTTATGTTCTCCCATAAACTATTACTTCACTGAGTTTTATGGTTAATTTATTAGCTATATTCTGCCTTAGTTAGAATTGTAACTGATAAAAAAATTTGCCTTTCCACATTGCCCAATTCTGACCTCTAGTATACGGAAACCACATATTGCCCAGACCTAAAACATATCTGTCAACTCCTACTTTCTATGTTACCAAGAGGAAAAAAAAAGCAGTCTAGGACTGGTTTCCTAATAGAGCTTGATGAAAACTGGTCTACACCTGTGAGTATTTGATAGTAAAGGTTTGGATGTTTTCAATGACTACAGAAGTACTTAATGTGTTAAAAACTTGCTGCCAGTTATATTTGTAACAACTTGAGTCATACTGGACTCAGTGGCCTAACAACAGAACGTTCCCAAATTTAGCATAGTTAGTTTTATTGTATGGTTCATCTACGTTTTTAGGATGTAGAAATTAATAGTTCCAAACTACTTAAATATATTATGCTATGTTACCATGAACTGCTAAGAAAACAAACAGGTTTATCCTGTAGAGGGTTAAACTGGGCTGCTCCTTGGAGGCAAGGATTCTGAAGCTTCATCTGACATACTTTGGACATGTTGCAAGGAGAGTCCTTGGAGTGGGACGTCATGCTTGGGATGGTGGAGGGACAGCGCAAGAGAGGAAGACCCTCTATGAGGTGGACTGATTCAGTGACTGGGGTAATCGGGGTGGGTGTGTCGGAGACAGTGAGACTGGCACAGGACAGAGCAGAGTTTAGGGCTGTTGTACATAGGGTCACTATGAGTCGCAAAGGACTCTATGGCACATAACAACAACAACAATCTATCAAAAGCAATTGCTAGGCTGAACA